CCCCTAAAACGTGTTGTTGAAAAAACAAAATGTTTTGAAAAAAAAAAAAAAAAAAATTCCTTTACGAGTCAGATCACATTCTCTGAACAGCCACATTTTCAGCATATTGTGTGAATAAGGGTATAGATTTATCAAGCAGTGTTAAGTAAACACATTAACAGAAAAAAGCTTAAGGGAATAGTGGTGGCCTTATATTTGTAACAGTGATTTTCTTCTGTGACAAGATCTAATGTGTTTTTTCATCTATTTTTTCAATACCTCCTGTATTATTCATTCTAGTACTGATGCAGAAAAGAACACTCCATTACATAATCTTAACCATACTTCCCTTTTGCCAATAATGTCTAAAGTTCAACACACTACAGATACTTGAAAGGCATCAATCATATTTGCAAAAACAATTTCCTTTATCAAGCCCAAAATATCTGTTAGTCACTTTTTCTATCAAATTTCTTGGGCTGCAAGAAACAGATGGTACTAATCACCTTATAAAAAATTTACTGACAGTTATAAATATATTAAGCAGGAGCATTTCTCATGAAAGGAAACATTCCGGGTTCAAAACCCAAGAAAATTAAAAGTGAACGCTAATACATTACAGCACAAGAGTCTCCCCTTTCAGAAGTCTGAAGACCACATACCACCTATTGTCCAAGATCTTCCTTCCTAGGTAACTTCTCAGCCTTCCTATCACCTTTTACACATACAGAATTATGTCACAGTACACATACAATAAGATAATTTATTTAAAAATTTATTAGTCATCATGATCAAATTTTATCTCCTAATTCAATTAAAAAAAAATCTGAAAGTAACCTTTAATAATTAGGTAACTGCAGAAGAGATTTGCACAAGAAGTGCCTCACCCTGAGATTTACAGCAGAATGAGCTGAAATACGCCATGTGAAAGGATCCTCCAACTGCTTTCCTCCTGTGAAGCCTCTCACTGCTCTTTCTTTCACAACTTTTCAGATATTTAAGCTCGTTTAGCTTCCTAGACCACCTGAATCTCTGTAAGGCTCTCAGCACTGCAATCCCACACTTGTTCGCTCTTTCCTTGCACTGCTACCAATCACCACGTCACTTCAAAGCACCGCTACCAGAATCATCTTCTAATTCATTGCCAACTTCTTCACACCCCTTCACTAGCCTCCTTATTGCCCTCTGAGTTCTCAAATGTAATCTGTTAGTCCCTCCAATATTTAGTCATACCATACCCATCAGATCTAGTTTTTAACTGTACGTTCATCTTTGTTCGTCAATGAAAGCAGCCTCAGCTTATCGCTCCTCAAAACTAACCTTCTGCTGTAGCGTGGATAGTAAAGCCCTGAAAGGCAAGCACACGACCAGCTGTGACGACTGCTCCAGACTGACCAGGAACCAGCTTGTCACTTGTCACTCTCGTCCTCGCTCACAAAGCTGTCACCCTACAGTTGTACCTTGGTTGCCAGATAGTAAAAACTTCCATCAGGCTGTAGAGCACTTTGCATAACAAGGCCCCAGTTTCATTGTCCTCGAACTGCTGTCTAAATCTTAGGCGATGACTGAGCATGTGATGTAGGTTCTGGAATTTATGTCCCGGTGCTGCTGAAGTAGTCTCTATTGCAGCAGATGAAGATGTGAGAAGCTAACATTTGAGATCAGGTTGAGATCAGGTTTATCATCCCCCGTTATGAGTATGCAACAGAAGCACATGTAGATGTGACCCCAGTTTATAAAATGTCTGGTGGTACCATCTTTGAGACTGCGCAAACCAACTGCACAGTAAGTAATGGAAAAAAACTGTTTATACACATGTGCATATATATATGTATATATGTATTCCTATTTAGTTAGTATTTCATGTGTGGTTATGGCTGACTCCACACTTATCTTCATAGTGTTTGTACCTTCATGTGCACCGGAATCAGTCAGCTTCAGTCCCAGCAGTTCTGTTCGTTTTTACCTCCTTGCATTTTCTAAAAGTGAGTCCTGGTGGCTTGTATAGACAAAAGCAGCATTTTACAAGAACAACAGATTTATAACTTTAATAAGACTGCCCTCCTTCCTGCATTGAAGCCTACAGCACATGACAAATCAGGTTAAGCAAGCTGGTAGCAAATCTGAAGCCAAACCCATTTGTCCTCTGCAGAGCTTCAAGCTTATTTTCAAGATGCTAAATTATTGATAAGGAAAATCAACGCTTTTTCCAGCTCAGGCAATGTCACACAGTCACAGCATATACAACAATAGCTAAGGTAGCTTTTCTGTTGTATTAACTTCACAACCCTTCAGAATTAAATTATCTACCTTTTCCTCTTTAGAATCCAGATAAACAGTCACTATGGACAGCTTTATAACTTCTATTAACTTCAGATGAGAATGAAAGATTTGTCTGAAAACAGACTGTCAGAAACAGACAAAATAAACATTTGAGACGCCCGCAAACTCCTAAGTTTATTTATTAAACTGGTATTATTTAACCAACACCATTGAACACTTCAGCAAATAAACTGCAATGCATTCTGTTCTGACGATAAACAGTTTCCTCAAAGGATCCGAAATAATAAAACATATTCCACCCAAAGAAGGAACAGAAGAACCTCAAACAATTCTGGGAGAAAGCAGGCAGCTGGACAGAACGGTACTTTGCGAACAACAACCTTTCCAAAACAAAAAATTTAGGAGTATCTACATGCATGCTTTTGCTTAGACTTGTAGTTCCACAGCGTCAAGTGATTTCAGTCCCAGTGATTTTATTAAGTTTCTGTCTCCTACCATTTCCAGAAGATATCCTGGGTACAACAAAGGGATGTATGTGATGTCACCTTCTGTAAAAGTATCCCAACCATTACAGTACCAGATATATAAAAGAAGGAAGGAGATAAAATGATGCTACCAATCTTTTCTGTTCTAAAGCAGAACAGCGGTAGCGAGTAAGCAATAATTTACAAAGGAGCAACCACCACCCTCACGCCGTATCCCAAAAATACCCTAGCCATCAGTTTTAGGGCCTAACGATATCATATAGGGAGATAATAGAGAAGCCTCTTGAGCTTTCCTGTTGAGGATGTCCAGGTTAGTATAAAATATGTAAATATCCAGTGACCTATATAGACAGAGGAAAAACTGATTCTCCGTGTCAGTTGGTTACTATGCTTCTCCCACTGGACACCTCAGCCTAGACGCCATCGTGTCACCGGGATAGCTGTGTACACACGTGTGAACAGAAACCTCTCTCGTCCCCTGAACAGCCCCCAGCCAGGTCACCTTCCACCAGTCTGTGCTGAAAGCAAAGTGTCTGCTCCCAGTTCTCCGACCAGCGTGCCCGGAAGAGGGAAAAAGCGGATTCTTTTCTGTGATTGATGCGAGCGAGCAATGCTGCAGCTCCCATAACGTTCCTGAACGAAACCATTCAGCAAAAAGAATGCAATTAACCACTGAACAAGCAAATGCATGTTTTTTTTTGATGAATAAAGCGTCTCTAGAAAAAAACCTGCCGAGTTCTAATTCGAAACCTGTAATACTGGTAAGTAATAAATACCTGTTTTTCAATCAGCCCTAAGTCAAATGTGGGATACAATCTATAGCAAATACCCAGACTGGAAAAGGGTAAAAAAAAAAAAAAGTAGCGGAATTGATTTCTTTGCTGTGAATGACTCCTTCTCAGCTCCGACTTGCACGGCACCGCCTGTGATCTCACCAGCTGAGGTGCTCGCGGCGGAAGGGAGCCTGTGGAAGGCATCTTACCGCACCGCTTTGGCGAGAGCTCGCACGCCCGGGCAAG